CTCCTCTCTCTCTCTCTCTCTTCTCTTCTCTCCCCTCGCTCTCTCTCTCTCTCTCCTTCTCTCTCTCCTCTCTCTCTCTCTCTCTCTCTCTTCTCCTCTCTCGCTCTCTCTCTCTCTCTCTCCTTCCCTCCCTCCCTCCCTCCTCCTCCCTCCCTCCTCCTCCCTCCTTCCTCCCTTCCCTCCTCTTCCTCCCTTCCTCCCCTTCCTCCCTTCTACCTCTCTCCTCCTCCTCTCTCTCCCTCCTCTCTTCCCTCCTCTCTCTCTCCTCTCTCTCTCTCCTCCTTTCTCTCTCCTCTTCCCTTTCTCTCTCTCTCTCTTCCTTCTCTCTCTCTTATCTCTCTTCCCTCTCTCTCTCTCTCTCTCTTTCCTCTCTCTCTCCTCTCTCTCTCTTTCCCTCCTCCTCCCTTCCTCCCTCTCTCTCCTCCTCTCTCTCTTCTCTCTCTCTCTCTCTCTCTCTCCCTCTCTCTCTCTCTCTCTGCTCTCTTCTCTCTCTTCTCTCTCTCTCTCTCTCTCTCTCTCTCTCTCTTCTTCCCTTCTCTTCCTGTGTGTGTGGTTGCATAGGTGGGTGTCTGTGTGCGTTGCTTACGTGTTTGTGCGTGTCCATCTGACTCTTGGGTCAATATACAAAATTACTTCATCATATCCGACCTCACTATACCCAGCTCCCCTCCTTTCCCCGTTGTGACACACCGAAGGTCGCAAACAGGAGAGTTTCAGGATGTAAGTTTGATTACACTGACCGACGTACGAAACGGATTCACGTGTTGCAAATATAGCACCACTTTCATCAGAGAACTTGTCTGTCTGTATGAAAAGGATGTGTAATGATTCATTCATTGACAAAGACAAAGTCAAAGTCAAAACACTAATAAATTACAACGGTTATTCTTTACATGAATACTTTTATATTTACAACTTTGTTTAAGAGGTGTTTTTTTTTTTTTTATTTCGTCTTGAATTACGGAAGCTTTTAATGTCTCATATCATCTGGTAGCATGTTCCATAACTTGGGTCACGTATTTCCATTTGCCGTGCGCCTGTATCGGTATTCAATCCTTAACACATTAAGATAATTTATTTACAATTCTGGTGAATGAGCTGTAAATGAATACACATGTATCATAACTTCACTAAGATTGGACTTTTTCAACCATTCTAATTTTTGGATTTTCGGCGGTGATGTGATCAAGTTTACTGATATTACATATGCAACTCTTGCAGCAAAGTTTTGCATTTTTTTTTATTTTTTGCATCTGTGTTTGTTGTCGAACCCTAATATTTGAACAATAGTTATTTATGCATAAACTAAATTTGACTACCATGATTATAGTGTCAGTAGTGATTTTTGATTTTTATGTGATTAAGATATACCAGGTGCCCACTACTTTCCTGTGTACTTTGTCAAGATGTGGTTCCAATGTCATGAATCTGTCTGTGTACTCCTAGATTATTCACTGGTGTTCAGTTTGACAGAGCAGCCTTTAATTCTATGGTTGTGTCATTGGGATTTTAGCTATGTTTCTGCCGGCTACCTATAAATATACATTGTTTTTATGTGGATTTATTAAGTGTAAGACCATAGTGCCAAAATATATTTTGCTTGTGAGAGCATGTTGTGTTCTTATTAATGGATTTAAGTTGTTTACTGAGTCACTATGAAGAACTGCGAATCATCGGCGTCTGCACTAAGGCGGTTATGGGCTATTGTTGATAAACCTTTAATGAAAATTGTAAATAGGATCGGACCCAAAATAGGCCCTTGCGGAACACCAAAAGTACTTGATGTTTTTGATGACATACCATCACTGATTCTACCGATTGGGGTCCTTGTATTTAATATAACCTTTAAACCAAAATGTATCAGTTTTATGATTTACTAATTTGTTAAGGAGTCTTCATGGTGATACTATCAAAAGCCTTAGAAAGGTCGAGCATAATGTGGCAAATTTACCTGATTTTTGTCTATGTTATTATAAATCTCAATCATAATTTGTAGTAAAGGCCTGTTTCAAGTAGATATCCTATATCTAAACCATGTTACGTTTTAGATAATACAGTTATTGGACTCCAGAAAACACGTCAGTTGATTTGCTACATTTTTTTCAAGATGTTTTGGATAAGTATAGGGAGTATGGTAATATGCAATAATATTCACATCGTTTTATCTCCGACTTGAAAACTGGTGTTTCTATATCATGCTTCCAAAGCGACGGGAAAGACAAGCAATGACCAGAGAGGTGTTAAGGTGCCGTCACAACTAGCACTTTTGTCAATTTTTGACAATATATATATATATATACACATAAATATAGATAGATAGATATAGATATATTTGTATGTGCACACAAACACACACACACACACACACACACACACACACACACAGATATATATATATATATATATATATATATATTATATATATATATATATAGTATAATATATATATTATATATATTATAATATATATATATACGCGAGTGCGTGTGTGTGTTGCTCCCAGGTCCACTCCGACCCAGAGTGGAGCAACTGTCGAGGTCCCTTCCATGGGGCAATAGAATCAGCGTTGAGGGGACTCTTGAGCCTTGGTTGGCAATCCTGTCTCAATAAAACCACTGTCAGGGAAAGCGACGGAAAACCCTTATTGGTCTTTCCCTTGTATTTAATGCCGACATCTCGTGTAAAAGGGGGTGAATAGAGTGCCATGGAGAAAAAGGATGCCAAAGAGGATTTATCGTAGGACTGAGCTCTAGAAGAATACACACACACACACACACCACACATGCACACACACAATCGGTGTC